CCGCGGCACACATCACCTGTTTGCTCACGATGAACGCTCGGGTTATGAGATGAAGGGCAGAGGAGCTGGCCTTCCTTAGAAGACAGCCTGTGACAATCACATGGCTAATGTGACCGAACACTCTTCCTCATACCACTGACGCATTGAATCATGCTTTCCTGTGCCTGTTCTCCTCACCTATAAATTAGAACACCCCACCCCAGGTGAAGGCTGGTTAAAAAGGGAATGACACACTCTGCTTCTCAGGCTGTGTGCTGTGGTCACAGGTGGTCACTTGATTGTCACCTTGACACTGTATTCCAGCATTTCCCAACCTTTTTCAAGTAGACCACAAGTCAGATCCTGCTTTGCTCGTGTTGCTCCGAGGAGCCCAGCACTGCTCTGGGTGGCCAGAGGTGAACTGCCTGGGAGGTCAGGCCACCTCAAGCCACACCTGGCCACCCCAAGGGCTGAGGGACTGAGAAGCAACCAGAACACAGAGGGCTCTGCCCATGCACAAGAGTCAGGAGGCTCTGCCTTACACATTTTTTTTTTTGTCTCTATTCAATATTTAATATGCCCAATTTTTAAAAAAATAATGGAATCTCAATTCTCAGGAGCAAATTTTGGAACTATAGAAATATTTGAAGATACCTCTAAAGCAGATCAAAGGAAAGTAGAGGTTCTTAAAAATAGAAGCTTATGCTAAGATTTTTGATAAAATGAAATTGCCATAATAAACAAATTAACCACCTCTCCTTGGACGATGGGGCACCCTTGAGAAGATGTAGTTTCAGGAATATGTATATAAGAGCACACCTTTCCTCCACTTTCACAACCAAGACCCCCCTTCCTCCAGTCTCCAACTGTCCCAGCCTCCAGGTGCACACGTGTGTGTGCACACACGCACACACACGCACAATGAACCAAGAAAGGACATACATGCTAATGAGAGCCCACTAATGGATTGGCTTAAGTATAGAACAACATCCCATCACTGTTCTAGAAAATAATCAATCAAGCACTTAATTTTAAACATAAAAGTAAGCTGCCAGGAGACTGTTAATAGATAACCAAATAAATTAACAGTCGTAGGTGGGATTTGAAATGAGGTCAGATTTCCCTCTCCACCAAGCTCTGAGCCCCATGCATATAAAGGGTCTGCCCAGCTTGGCACTTGATCTCACACTGTTTCAAAGTGAGAAATCTCCTTTTAGCCAATATCCCCTCTCAGTGGGCTCCTCACTTCAGGGAATTGTCCTTTGTGCGTCTTCCATAAATTTTATAACACCGCTACTTTAAAATATTGATGGGTAACTTGGCCTTGGCCCAGGCCCGCGGTGGGTTAGTGCAGACCTGAAAACCTTCAGGGGCATAGATGCAGGAAGAAACACATTCCCCACTGACCTTTCTTAAAGAGAGAATTGTGCAAATGCAGTGGTCACCTGAGCTGGAGGCCTACTTGGCTTTGATGGATGGCTCTGCCCTCTGGGAGCCGGCTCAGAGCCACTCGGAGATAGGAAGATGTGGGGGACACACACAGAAAGTGCTCAGGTACCCGCAGACCTGTAAAGGGCAAGTGAAATCCACACATAATCCCTCAAGTTATTTTAACCTGAAACTTAACTTTTGCCCAACATTCAAACTCTTTGCAAAGTTATTGATGAATAAGGATTGACAGCTTTATAGTCTGTCTCTTCTCCCTCTACCCATGACCTGCTCAGGGCAAGTGACCAAAAGTAAACAGCAACAATGAACTTAAAAGGCAGGCCTAGAGAATTGATCCATGATTCCTGGAGGCTCTGTGTGTGCTCTGAACTTCTAATACAACATCCATTCTGCCATCACACTGTCTTCATAATACCCCTCGAAAAAAAAGAACACAGTCAAATTCCACCTCCTAGAATAAAGTCACCACTGAGAACAATACAGCAATAGTCTGCTAACCAGGTGAATAACACAAGTTAATAAAAGCTACCATTTATTGGGCCTTTAAAACACACACACATGCACACACAGTGCATGCACTGTGCCATACTAAATGCATTATGCACATGATCTTATTTAATCCTTTTTTAAATCTGCGAAAATATCCTTTCATCCAGAAAATATACTTCTAAAAATTTTTCCCATGTAAGTGATTGAAGATATGCCCCCAAATAGCATCTACAAGGACATTTGTCAAATACAAGCAAAAATCGAAAATAATAGAAAGTTCCAATAATTGAGGAGTAAAAATTACATTATATCCATAAAATATAACATTGTGTAGCCATTTCAAATTGAGTTGTTAAAGAATAATGACAAATAAAACATGTCTGTGAGATATTCAGCAATACAGAGTATAGGAAAAAAATATGAATATTTTTATAAATTCTAAGTATGTTATACACATGTATAAAATATGTCAGATGAGACTCATCAAAGTGGCATAAGATTATGGGTGGTTTTTCCCCTTCTTTTTTATCTTCTTTTCTAATTTTTTATAATTCATAAAAAAAATATTTTTGAAATTTTGACCTAGGTATTATATCCAAATCATTAACTTAATAATAGCCCATTACACATACAAAGCCCTGTCTGTCTAAAATGTGGTTTTACATACTGTCTCAGCTGAGCCCCACAGCAACCTTTTTGGATAGACAGAGCAGATGTTTTAGAATCCTGGAGATCTTCAAATATACAACAACAAAAAAAAAATTGGAGGGAATAGTACAAAGAACCAAGAGCCCCCTCCTCCCTTGGGCAGGCAGCACACAGGCCTCTCGGGAGAAGGCTTGCCCCTGGCTGCCGTCCACAGGGCACTGGCTCCAGCTCTCTGCTGCATCCAAGAATCTGGAAGCAAGCCGCCTCTTTCTTCCTTCAGCTTCCCCTCCTCACCCCCCCATGAGTGCTTAGGTTCTCCAGGATCCTTCTCTGTTCAGGGACTGGGGCAAGGGAGTATTCCAGAATACATGGCAAGCAAAGTCTCTGACAAAGAGTAGAGTCAGCAGTGTGATGGAGCTGTTTCGTGATGGCTCGTGAAAGCCAGTTGTCGGCATCTGTGCTCAATTCTGCCATCAGTGACACCACAAAGGTAGCTTGAAACTGCCATGGTGGAGTATGTATACCATGGAAATCAACAAACACGATAAACCAGGGCGTTTTCGTCCACCCACCCCTACCCGCCAGAGAGAGCCAGTTGTTAAACAGTTACCAGCAGACCACTGCCTAGTCTTAGAAATAGAAATTCATATATTGAAATGAGGGCCAACCTACTCAGACCCTTGATTTAAACAGGATTACGCCTACATAGGCTAAAGCAGGATGTGAATGTTGTTTGAAAATGATAAAATATTATTCGGAAAACTTTCAATATTTACAAACCTTGACAATTTGTCTACTCTTCACCTTCCTTGTGGCCGCTTAAATTTCCTTTTGCTGTGTCCTCTTGAGAGCCAGAGGAAGACCATCTGGGGCACTTCTTTCTAAACTTGATCGGTTCAAATCATGGTTGGAACAAGAAGAGTGGCCTGTTCGCCAGTTAGGTGCCGTGTCAGCCAACACCACGGTCTTGGCCCTGAGACTTCCTTCGGGGTCCCTGGGGCTTGTTTGCCTCTGCTCTGGCTCCCGGCCCTGGGGCCACCTCCACTGAGGCTTTATGAACGATCTCTGCTCTTTCTGCACTTGTGGACAGCTCAGCTGGGAGTGAAACTTGATCAGGAGATAATTTGGCCCAGATGGTGCTAACACGGACAGAAATAACAAGCAGAAGCATTCGGCAGCACATATCCTTAGTCTGGGGGAATCCATTTAAATCTTTTTGAGAAGTGACTGTAACTGAGCTGCCACATAGCCTCAAAATGCTACCTCAGGTTGCACAGTTGCAATCAAACGTGTGAAGAGACGTTCAGCTCTCAGGAAGGTAAGGCCAGGCTAACCTTTCCTATCAGATAGCACCACAGCTCAGCTGGGTGCTTGGTCTTGGGGGGATATACGCAAGGGATCGGCATAAAACCCCGAAGATATCGCTCGCTCCCGAGGATCGAAGGATTGTAGCAAAGGATAACATGCGGCTGGAAATGAAAGCAAGCATCGCAGAAGCGCGGAGAGACAGGAGAGCTGAGCAGAGGTGCAGAGAGGCCTGGAGGATGCAAGAAGGGCGAAGAGGCTGCATAGAGGAGTCGTCGTCTCTCTTTCGGTCAAGTTCCGAGGCAGAATTCACGGTGGGATACAGGTTTTTTCTTTTCTTTCACGAACTTGACATGAGCAAGACACAAATAAAAGAAACGTCTCATCTGTAGAGCCTAGCCCTGAGAAAAGAACATTTAGCTTCAGGAGAAATAGGAACCATGAAACCAGAGGCAGTAGGCAGAGTGTGATGACGATTCTGTGGGAAGAGGGTCGCTCAGGTATCAGCGAGGCCACTGGGCGGCACTCGGGGCTGGCCCTGGACACTGCGCTCCACCGCATTCTCTCTGGCTATCGCGGATGTCATAAGGTTCGGCCCGCTAGGGTAAAGGCCATGAAGAAACCACCCTTTCGAACTGTGTTCAGGCTCTCAGAGGACCACTATCGATCTAATGGATGAGCTTAAGTGCCCTGAACAAGTACCAACTGCTGCATGTGGTCGTCATCTGTGACAGCTCCCCGGGCCCAGCGAGGTGAGAAGTGGAGCCGAGCCTACCCGCCCTCTTTCCAACTTTGCTATCAGAAAGTTCTTCTCCCACCCAGGCCCCTGGAACTGATTGGGAGACCCACACCTGGGATTCTGTCAGGCCTGCAGGATTTTGTTGGAGATGATTGGAATCTTACTAAAAAGATTAAAATATCTAGTCACCATGGGGTAGCTTCTGGCTCTAAATAGACAGTGATATATAGAGTGAGCTGCCTCTCTGTATATAATGAATCTGGGGAACAATGTAAGTATGCATTCCACATACATCATGTCCATCATCCCAGAAAAGTTCCCTTGGAGGCAGTAGTGTGCTGGTAAATGGTCACCTACCAGCATTCTGAAAAAAACAATCTATACACATATGTGTGAGTATATGTTTATTATAAATTTTACCAATATAAGAGATATAGGAAACAATTCACAGATATTAATAAAATACACAATACTCTTTACTATAAATTCCATGGAGTCAATTGGTTCTCAAAGAATGCTATTGCTGATTTTTACCAAGCTCTGGTTATCTGTAGCCAGCCTATGGTTACAACTGATTAACCAGTGTAGTTCTGACACGATGTTGACGTTTTTGTTTACGTTAATGAGTACTACAAACATGAAACAACATTTTTGTGTGTGGAAACTTCACCTAGTTACATCAGATAATGGTTTTCACATAATGGAAGAACAATTTCCTCGAGTTTTTATGCTATTCACAGTGTAACAGCTACAGGCACGACTTCTAATCTGCGTGATCAACATTTTTTTCCCCCATCACTTTAAGTCTAGATAATCAACAAAACAATCAATCAAGTCCTAAATTTGCTGATTTCCAGTGTAAAAAGTCCTACTGCAGCCAATTTCAAGCCATCGATGTAATGTCCCTGAACGAAGCTGCAAAGCCGCACAGTAGCTCATCATCATATGGTCCAAATGACATTAATAACCTCCAGGACAAAGTTAACAACATATAGTAAAAGAATCGGGAAGTGGTGCAGTTCATCTTCACTTTTGTTTTGAATACAATTTAATGGTAAGTTACAGAATTTTGAATGATTGCTGTGTCGAACAACCCGAAAATTTAACCATCGGCTCTCGCGAGCCAGCACACCTCAGCTTGTACCCTTGTGTAGCCTATTCTGTCCCAAACACAGACATTTTTTTCAATAAGGAAAAAGTAAAAATACTGAATACTTGAATACTTGGTGAATGCTCAGGGTAAAATCTATTATATCTTAATACGTCAAGAAAGCAAAGCTTCGACCCATAGAGGTGACCAGAAGTTGATCTGTGTGTTCTCCCTTTAGGAGCGGGCTGCTCAGAGCGTGTGCCTGGGACGTCAGTGTGACAGTGATCAAGACACCAGAACAGGACCCAATTCCGGCCCAAGGGCTTATAGCAAAGGCTCAAAGCAGGCTTTTTTCCAAAAATGTTTTTAATTCCAACATCCCTCTTAATGGCTTACGGTAGACTAATTTAGCCAGTAATTGTTATACTAAAAATAGAAGCTAATGATTTCAGCTAAAAACAGCTAAGCCAGTACTATCAAAGTATACTTATTGTACAAAACTGATTATCACTGAGCACATTTGTTCCCCACTTCCTTATCCCTGTAGAAAGGCTTAATAAGATGCCCACATCGAAAGCAAAAGCATTTCTTCCTCTCCTGAGACCCCAGACTATTAGGAACGTGTTGTCTAGAGGGCACCCACTTCCCAGAGCTCGGCTGAGAGGCATCTCACACAGGCGTATCCCACAGAGGGTACTACCCACTACGGCTCATCATATTGGTGCCACTCGGCAAATACCGGCAGCATCAACTCGTTTCTCCTGAGCGACCACAGGCCCCTACTGGCCAGCTCGGTGCCATATAGCTCGGCACACTTTGGTTTCCAAAGTTAAGTGCATTTTGAAAAGAAGCAAGGCTTTTAAGGCAAAGATCAGATCAGAGCTATGCCACACAACTGTCCAGCTGGAAGAAATCTAGCAAAATAAAAGAAAAAATAAAGTTTTCAGGTACCACTGTTTGAATTTGCTAGGCGTGCTAGAAGGTTAGCACCTGAAACGTCAATAGGCTGATGACATGATTAAATATTTTAACTGGCAACCATTCGGAGCAGAATTCAGATTTGCTGAGCCACCCGATATTCAGATTTAATCCATTTGATGTACATTCCCCAAAACTTTATGACGCTTGTTTCTATAAAATGAATTTTGAGTGTCACAAAAAGCCACCTGGACTGGAGAAGTGACTTAAGGGCTTCTTATAAAGGAACCTCAATTATTAGGCGATGAGAACAAAGTTCCTAGGAATGCTCTTTACCAAGCCTTTCTGGGGCATGACCTTGATGAAATATTAATTTTACAATTTTTAGAAATAATGAAAGAAATGATTAGCTTTTGTCTTCCTCTGAGGATTGCCCACATTGCTAATAATACCGAGAAGCTGAATGATTTTAATGTAGGGCACTAGTTTTAGTGTCAACTCAGAATTTTCTTTTCCAGCTTATGACATCTCAACAGATATCCCATGTCCACCTAACTTTGGGAAGCCTGTTCCTATTCCCGTCTTCGGGGGCGGGGGGGGTGGAGGGTGGTCTTTCAGGCTAAGAGCTTCACTGTGCGGTCTTAGGCATCTGTGCACGCACACATCCGCACACAGATATCAGTTCTTTCTTCTGGCCTCCAGCTCCAAATTCTGCCCTCCAGCTATAGCTACACAATCTGGCTCCTTCTCACATCCTGGCCCAGCCCCAGAATGGAGTAGCGAACACAGCAGAACTCCGAGGACTGCAGGCCCGCGTGGTCACCTACACTTGGGTGGGCGCAGGTCTTCCGACTGCCCCTACTCAGTGTGGGCTCCCCCTTGTCGTGGTGTAATAACATGTTTTGGATAAACACAGTAGCATCAGATTGGGCATCTGCTTTCTACTTGCATACCTAAAATTAGAATTTCTTGGATTAAATACCTAATGTATGAGATTAGATTAGTTGATAGGGAAAAAAATCCATCAACTTTAAGACTTATCCCACCAAATCATTGTATTTTTCCCCAAGAAGAAGGAAAATATATTTTTAAAGAGCAGCTGAACACGGAAATGACGTAAATTTAGGATTGTTAACATTACGTACCTTGTGACAGGCTTAGTTTAGGCAATCTGGAGCAGAAAATCCACTTTTTCTTCATACCGATGTAACCATCCTTGTCTAAATAATTTCAGCCATAGGGAAAAATTTAACAGAATCCTAGAAAAATGTTATATTCTGCGCATGGGATCATCTGAGTAAGGATATGTACTGAGGAAAAGTCATGGATCTTTACTATTTAGTCGGCACCAACATGCCACTGATCTACCTACTTTTATTTATTTATTTTTTACGATGGAATATTATTCAGCTTTTAAAAAACATTTTATTTATTTATTTAACATTTTATTCTCCGCCCGCCCCCCCACCACCGGTAACTGATATACCTACTTTTAAAGGGCTCTTTACAAGTTTTATTTCTCCTGAGAAGAAGCAAATTTTCTTTGAGTGCAAAAATGTCTTTTAGTTTTAAAAAGTAAGTAGTTCCAGAATGCATAATTCTGAAGAGTTCCTTCTGTGCTATACACACAGGGGCCTGGGCCTTCTGTGACCCTGGCAAGCTAAACCGCCTCACCATCACAGCTCCTGTAAGTTTTCTGTATCAGTTGATTCATCAGTTAAAGCCAGGTCTGCACATAAGTGCAGCTGGAAGAAACTGCCAGCAGTGCATTGCTACTTACCAGGGCAAGCATTTGTATTTCAAAGTTGACAAACAGGATAACAATTCTCAAAGACTATTAGCTCTAAAAAGAGCAATGGCTGATTTTGTCCTACCAAATGCTACCCTTGCATATGCCCCTTACCCATCTTTGGTTAATCGCAGTCAAAAGTAACATTTCTTAGAACGACAAATGTCATGGGCAGTGAGCCCAGTATCATTTGCTTTTCACCACAAAGGCCAGTCTGGTCCAAACTCAGAATCAAGGATATTATTCCAGACTGCCTCGTCACTGTCACTGTGGAAGTTTCCTTAGTAAATGATGGGCTTCAGATTCCCTAGCAAGAGCGCCCAAACTGGAATTTTCTGCAACACGTCCATAAGAATATCTATTCAACTCTAAAGTGAAGTAAGGCAGGTGATCAGGAAGTTTCCTGAAGGAGAATGGCCATGAACATAACCTGACTCCCGGTGCCACGCCACTAACCCAGAGAACTCACTTCATGTGGGACACTCGAAGTCTACCTTGAACCTACCCTCAAAAGCTGATGGAAACAGACGAGGAACATTCTTAAGAACTACCCAGGCCTTGTACCTTTCTCTAGAAACACAATCCACAATTAGGAAAACCAATTTGAAAAAAAAAAAAATGTAGATGCTACTCAAATTTCAGAGCCGTTATCAGTGTGGGCAAACTATTAACTAAAGTGGCTGATAGGCATGTTTCTTTTCTTGTATTACAAAGTGAATTCCCATTTAACAATTTTGATTATTAACTAATTTAGATTAGTTACAATTTAACAGAGAACATGAATCCAACTGGTTAAAACCTAAATGACACCATAAAACTTATTAATAATAGTAAATCCTGAATATGGAAGATCTGTAACTCCTCTAATACTTCTACTTTATGAACTGGATTTTTTAAAAGATCAAAGAAATACTCTTTTGAAGAACAAAGTTCTAGGACAATGAGGAAAGACAAAATAATCATTACAAATTCATTATGGATCCGTCAGAGATTTTTTAATCCATTTAAATCTAAGTATAGAAGATCAGACTCTGATCCTACATTATTTCTATTTTTTTAGAACAACTTTTCACTCACAAATTCAAGGTTACAATGGCCTTAAAAATATCCACAGAGAAAGACTGACATGAAATACAATATGATGAGCAGTTGTTGCATTAAGGCGGTTATTTTCCTTTTCTCTATTTTTGAAATTTCCTATAGCATGTCATATAATCTTTGTAATAAAATATTATAAGAAAGAATTCAAGGTTACAAAACACGGTTGACTTTATAAAATAATTCTGCAAACAAATGTGTGGAAAGGAGACGTTCGACCAAGATAAAGAAGATGCTCGATGGGAAGGCTCACTGGGGCCCTGGGCGGGGCCTTAAGGATGAAGGCCATCATTAGCATCACTGTTCCTGGCATCACTGTTCTTGGGGACAGGAGACAGCGGGAGCCCCCTCTCCTGTGGTACACAGATTCCTACCAAGACACGTATGACAAACACTGGATTTCTACACATTTATTAGCCTTGTGTGCCTGGGGAATCTCAGAGCACATGTGGAATCTGATTTGGTTTTATGGTGAGGAAAGTGAGGTTCACACACAAGTACCAAAATGACCATTAACAGCGACAGCAGAGGCAAAAGCAGCCGCTGTAGGCAACCATACAGCCTCACTGGCATTCTGTAACCCATGCACTTAGGTGAGATTAGGTAACATTTCTTTTTCATATTATATTTCATTTATTTAACTCTGTTCACTTAAAAAAAAAAAAAAACTATATGCAAAGGACTGTAAATAGATGTCATTCCCACGGACAGCCCACAGAGGGCACTCTCTGTACCCTTGCAGGAGGTTTTTGGGGCAATAAAACCAAAACCTCTATTTAAAATATGTGTGCATATGATAAAATTTTAAAATTCATTTTTAAATAGCCTAGCGGCCATTCCAAACTAGTAACTTTACCCAGAGAGAGGGAATATACTGTATTGATATATAAAAATAGAAAACTTTCGATAAGAATTTCAGAGTCCATTCCTCAAGAAATCACACAGGGACGTGTGCCCACAGGCTGTACGTACCCTAATGTAACTCCCTTGATCTCTGAATCCGTCCTCCTCCGCATCGGAGGTATCTGGAGGCTGGGCATTTGCCTAATCCTGGGGCGGGGGGGCCTCCTGGCAGGTGTCACAGCTGCTGGTTGGTGAAGAAGGATTTAGTCTCCCTGCAGACAGGATTCACACAGAGCGGACAGCTCAGTGTCAACTGCTTGGAGCACAGCTCGTTCGACTGGATGTGTGAGTGCACCAGATCGGCCAGGGCCTGCAAGGCGGACGGCAAGAAGCAAAGGTTCCTCAGAGGCAAAATATCTGCTCATCTCCTATGGAGTCCTCCGCCCACCCCGCTCATCTGCACAGGTGATCATTATGGCTGGGGGTTCTTTTCATTTGAATTACGAATCCTTTGAACCAAATTCTATACTATCTTCTCCCAGGAAGCCTCTCTTGGAGAGAACTTAGAGATTTTTAAAAAATGAAATCCTCTTACCCCACCCGCTACACCTTGTCTCTGAAAGGCAGCTTTTTAAATCAGACATAGTTATAGGTGAGTAGAAATCAGAAAATTGGGGCTATCTAGAGGAAAAAAGACTGAGAGTATAAGGAATTCGATTTTATTTTTGTAATTAATTGGAACTCAAAATGTTCTAATATGTGAGAAAACCAATATTCTGTAAGGGTTTCTCAGAGGATTACTCTCCGATACGTTCTACTAAAATGGTTGTAACGCTATAGATACCTTAGAGAACAATGGATTTCCATTAAGAGACTCTGCTCTTCTGATGTTTTCAACTCCACACTGAATCGAATGAGAAAGGGGAGGAAAAACACGCACATGTTTTATTTTCTCTCTTGAAAGAAACTGCTACAAAAAATAAAAACATGCACAGATATACACACAGACGACTCAAAGTCTTACTTCAAGAGTTCCCAGACTGCTCGGAAATGAAAAGCAGTCACGGGACCAAGCACATATGCTGATCTTCACCTCTGTTATCGCAAAACTGTTCTTCAATTTCTATTCCTTCCCCCACCCCGTTACCTTCCCACAGGTGCTTTGTTTCCAAACCATTCTTGAGGTTGTATCTGATAGGATTCCCAAGTAATTGAAATCTGTTTACCGTTTTTACTGCACCTCTGTAATACATGCCTTTATGGACTCCACCTACACAGAACGTTGCTTTAAATAAGTAAAGTTTTATATCTGTTTTGATTCCAAGTGTCAAAAGAGGTCAATTAATTTAATGTATATTGAACCTAGACTGGATCCAATTCGGAGCTGGATTTTAAATATACTTATATTTAAAAATTCAAGGATTGTTTCACTACCACTCCTGTTCTCCTCTCCCAAAAATATCCAGTTAATTATCCCCCAAGTAAGTGAGGATTATCTAATTATTATTAACTCAGGTAGTAAATA